TCTAGCCGCTGGGTATTCCTCTGAGGGTCTCAGACATAAGCATCAGCATCATAACGATGCTCATGGCAGTAACAAGAGACATCACTACTACGACCCGACGTACTCTGCTGGTTGGGAGGAGCGCACTGCTCGCGACTCTGGCAATATCAACGATTCACCCACAGGGCAGCAGCAGCAGTCATCCTCGAATTCCGGGAAGGTGCAGATGTCACAAGGAATTCCCGCCATACCAATTCCCTCGGGGGCGGGCTCCTCCTCCTCCGTGTCTACGTGGAATCCAGTCCCTGGGGGCGCCCCTGCAGCTGCTGTAGTTGTATTGAATCCAGAGGCTCTCCGAGAGCTCTCCTGGATGGTCCCTAGTGGTGGTAGTAGTAAGGGTGCGATGTTCAGGGTCGATGATTATTGTATTGCCTCAGGTGTTGGAGATGGGTCGGTTACGATGGTGCAGAATGCTGCTGACTTGTGGCAAATCATTTCCAAGAATGCTACGCAGAAGCACATAGTTAGTACTGGTAGCGGACCAACACCGAGGGTCCAAGGGGGAATCTCTGATGGTGAAGTACTCCCGGAGGGTCGGGAGGAAGAGTTGTCCAAACCGAAGGGGAAATGGTCACTGTTGGCCTCTGGGGAATCTTCCCAAGGTGCGGTACTCAAACACCATCATCACTCGCATGAGGAAGTGCACCCAGCTGAGGTCAGTCTCGTCTGGTGTCCGCCCGAATGGCTTATTTTTCATCTCAGGCGATTCCACTTGGAATGCCCACGGATAAGGGAACTGACCACGAACAAGTCCTTCTACTCTCACCTCGGCAGCAGCAGCAGTCCACGACGGGTCCGGACGGGGACTGCCAGAGTGTAGGAAAAGTGTCGTTTTTCATTTCTTGTCCTCCTTCCCAATGGAATAACTGCTTCGTATTGTGTCGAGCTTGTCAGGGTGTTGTTGTTGTTGCCCGTGAAGATGGTACGGAGTTCAACGAGAGATTTCCGGATGGGAAAATAGGATCACCGACACACAGTCGGGGGTTCAGCAGGACCGAGCTGGAGGTGATCCGTCGCTAGTAATTCATCAATTACTGGAATTCAGATAATCGCAGAAGAGGAAGAGGACGATGCCAAGATGACCAGTTCCAATCCTTCCGGTAGTTCTCCATCATAAATTCCTCAAGTTTTGGGACACTGAGCAGATACGAATTACCTTGACAATTTGGACAATCTCGGAGGGCGGAGCGATGCAGATTACCTTGAATCGACAGATGCTATTGAAGGTGAGTTTCAAACACTTTCCGAATCATCCACGAGTCGTTGGTGAACCAGGCGATGAGGAACCAGCATACCTGCCAGAGCTGGAGGCGAGAAATGTGAACGATGTAGCGTATTATTCACGAGAGTCGATGAATGATGTGAGAAGTTATTGACCCGGACGATTTTATCGGAATTTTTCCCTCAGGTTCCAATCGGCGGCTCTCGAGATGATGCAAAGTAATATGATTGCATTAAGGTCTGGTCTAATGCATCTCTCAGTTCTCCAACGAATGTAGTGACCGAGTCTAGAAGTGACATGATAGGCCGGGACGGAGATGCCCCCAAGTACTCCCCTAAAACGTTCAGCGGATTCATGCGAAATTCGGCCCGAAAGGGCTCCTTTCCCCTCGCCCAGCGTGTAACGAGCTTTCGCCCAGTTAGGATCATCTTGCATCCGACCCGATCTCGACACCTCTCATCAGGTGGATTCTCGAGCCGATCCTCCGAAGCGTTCTGAGGACGTCACTAGACCGGGTGGCGAGGCGACGATGACAGGAGTCGGGTCACTGAGATAGCTGCCAGTTGAGATGCACATCCAACAAGCCCCTATCGCTTGCTCAGATGCTTTAAAGCTCTTTTGAGTGTTTTACCCATGTTATTCACGTGTTACCGTATTGCCGCCACATTTTGGGCGACGACAGGATGACGTTAATCGTTGTGATGAGCATTTGGAGTTGCGTTGACCAATCATATAGGGCTTCCAATTTGAATTCTCGCAGCAGAATTGCATTACGTGGGGGTTGTGTTCGACCTGTCTGGCTCTGGACGTTTCTGGGGTTCCCTCTAGCCTAGTGTTAAAAGCGCTGGTTAGGTTTAGTTGTCATAGGCAAGCACTGTTGAGATGTCCGAGGAAGTGATAACGGAGAACAACGTTGTCCCACCGGAAGGGGATGTGGCGAAGGAACTCTACGAGAGAACTCTGGCAGGGGTAAATTGAATTTAAGTTAAGTGTGTTTTATCGATAATTACTGGATGTAGTATCGACCGAAACACGGCAAGAGGATAGCAAAGGCTTATCGGGCGAAGGGAGACGCAAGTAAATGACGAATACAATGGTTAATAGTGCATGGATTTGCAGATGAGGACGCTGAGCTCACCCCGACCGAAGTTCACGATCCAAGTCTCACATACGCCGAGACTACCCTCACGCCGATGCGGGGCATCATGGCAGCTGTTGTAGATAAGGTGAAGTCCGCTATACTGGCATCATGTCGAATTTACTATATCTTCAGGTTGGCGTGGTATCGGGCAGTACATGTTTTTTGGACATAGGATCTGGTGTTGGTACGGCCGTGCTTGCGGCCTCAGCTCGTCACAAGTTCAGAAAGGCAGTCGGGATCGAGTGTGTGCCAGAGCTGGTCGCCAAGTCGAATGAACTCAGAGGTGGGACGTTCATTTCCCACGGCCATCACTTTTTCCCGAAAACAGATTCGTTTCTTTCGAATCTGCTGCCGCCCAGTGGAGAGGACGGGGAAGCAGCGTGTGAGTCTGCAATGCCTGAAGTTACCTCAAATGTGGAGTTCATTGAGGGGGAAGCATTCGAGGAGATCACCAAGCTCTTGGAGGGTAACCATCTATTTGCATTCAATCTAGTAGTTTTTCAGATGCTTCGGAATTCCTGGATCGCTCCCCGGCACCACCTGAAGAGTCGTCGGAAGAGGCAGAAACACCCGAGGGGCAGGGTGATTCTGGAAATGATGTCTCTTGCGACGAAGCCGAGGATCAAGTCGTGAAGCCCAAATGCCCACTCGTCATTTACTGGCTGAGTAAGTCTCGATTACATTGGTGCCATAGGAGTGTTCCCGCAGGCACTTGTTTCAGCGACGACCTTGTGCAAGCGAAGGCAATCTCTCTGTCGAAGGTTACCCCCAAAAATACGGTGAGTAACTCATCATGATTCGCATTACCCTGTAGAGAATTCAAACCTAGGCGCTCACAGTACTGAAAATTTTCCGAATTGCAAAAATTTTATTCGTATTCATTCTGTCTCCGCAGGTCCTCATTCTGGTGACACACCTACTTCGAAGGGATGCCGCTCTGGCGTGGGGCCTCGAGGCCGAAATTGAAATGGAATTCGATTGGGGTATGGGGACTGTCTTCATGTAAGTCATTCGGGATGGGAAGTTCGCACTGTGAATGTTTTCAGTTATCGCAATGTCAGTGAGGAAAGCCCCAACGACTCGGTTGACAGTAGTTCTTCGTAGAGCATGTAACGTATGATAGCCATCAGTTGTGAATGTGATTGCTGTTGAGTTATAAGTTATGAATATGACTTGTGACTTTTTGCGAGTCAATTCCCATTGGGGAAGGTCATCCCTGTGAACAACCGAGAGAACACATTTAATGACCTTAATAATAATGATGAGTATCAATGGAGTTTCACCCTAGTAATATGAAAACCCCTAGTGAAATGCATATTTCACGACTACTGCATATCACCGCGAATATCGCGTTTTTCACCGAGTTTTACGCCACTTCACGTAAAACGGGTGAAACTTCAATATATCAGGAATTATAACCAATCACTGGTAGGGGATGAACTCATGAACAAAACACCACTGAGGAGTTCATAGGCAACCACATGTTACACGTCATGTAGTATTCCATCACTTTGCTTAGCCAGCAAACGACTGATTAATCTCATCGCATCCTTATTATCCCTATCTATGGAGATCACTTTCCTCAATCGTGTAATCGTTTCCTCTTCTTGGACGCCCAACTTCACAGCCGCTGTTGACCACCTCAACTGTAATTTTGCAAAGAGTTTTCTACGATTAACGCAGACCGGGTGCTTATTGATGAGTGCGC